CCAGGAGTCTGGCCTCTTTCCTCCCAGGCCTTCCTGACTCAGGTCCCTGTCCCGGCCTGTCCCTCAGGGCCGAGTCCGGTGAGGGGCTAGAGTCTGGTTTTACAGTTTGACCTAGTGGCCCACACTGGCCAGTGAAGTCAGTTTTTCCAGACTTACAAGTTTTCAGTAACTTGAGTGTTTCAACATAAAGTGTTTGTGAATTCTGAGATTCGGAACGGACAGGAAGAAAACTGGGCTTTCTATTCCGTTAACTGACACCATGGCCAGGCCTCAGCTGTCTCGTCTCCTCTGACACAGTCCAGAGTGGGCCCTTGGGGGGCCTGTCCCCTCTGCGCCTGCCGTGCCCACAGTCCTCCGGCGGAGCCAGGAGAGGCCCCGGGGCGGGCCGCAGCCACGGGGGGCGGCGCTGGGTCCTGTGGAGCGGCGGGCCTTGTTGGTCCCCCTCCACCCCAGGTCAGTGTCCGTTTCTCGCTCTGGCCGTCTGTCCGTGGCAGCCGCCTGCACCCGCAGCAGGAAGTTCACGTCAGGGGACTCAGAGCCAGAATTGTATATTTGAGGGAAAATAGGAAATGCAGACGACACTATATTTGGCCTTAATTTTGCTCCAAATTTTAAGGCTGTAGTTGTGAGACTAATTTTGCAGGCTGGCGTGTTAGTTTCACTCCGCCGCCTGACGGTCTGTGTCGTTTCCGGTCCGGCTGGTTATTTTCCTGCTCTGTCGAGGTGTAGCTGACGTACAGCACCGTGAGGGGCAGGCGAGCTGACTTCACCCGCGGGGACCCCAGAAGCGCAGCTGACACCGCCCTCGGAGACCCACGGAGAGAAAACGTTTCCTTGCGACTGGAACAGCCGGGTCTCTGCCTTCGCCCAAGGGTGGTGCGGCCGGCGCATGGCCACCTCGGCCCAGGCCTCGTCTTGTGCCTAAAACTTTGTGTCTTTGACCCCTCCCTCCAACCCCCTCATGACCACAAGTCTGTCCTTTTTTCTGTTTTTTCCTTTTTATAACGTATCCCAGTAATAAATATGATCACGTAGCGTGTGTTCTGATTCATTTCACTCAGCATGATGCCCTCAAGGGCCACCCACATTGTCACAAATGGGTTCCCATCTTTATGGCCAAACAGTATTCCATTGTGTGTATATGTGTGTGCGTGCGTCTGTGTACATGTGTGTGCATGTGCCCATGTGTGTGTACTGTGACATGCACAGTGCAAGTGTGTGTACATGTGTGCATTGTCCGTGTGCACCATGTACATGTGTGCACGTGTGTGTGTGTACACGCTGTACATGTGTACGTGGCCTGTGTGCTGTGCATGTGTGCATGTGCACGTGTGTGTGCGTACATGTGCATTGTGTACACGTGTGTGTGTTATCACCTGTTCTTTGCCCAGTCACCCATCAGCGCACACTCGGGTCGCTCCCGTGTCCTGGCCGTTGGGAACGATGCTGCAGGGGACGTGGGGTGCGGAGATCTTGCGACAGAGTTTTTTTCTTTGGAAAAATCCTGAGAAGTGGATTGCTGACCGATGCGGGGATTCTGGTTGTTTCTGAGGAGCCTCCGTACTGTTCTCCACAGCGGCTGCACCAGCTGACACCGCCCCCAGCAGCGCACGAGCCTCCCTTTCCCCACGTCCTCGCCCACACTTATGCCTCGTCTTTTTGCTGACAGCCACGGACGGGTGCGAGGTGACAGCTCACTGGTTTTGATGTGCATCTCCCTGGTGACTGGGGGTGGCGAGCACCTTTCCGTGTCTGTTGGCCACCTGCGTGTCGTCCTTGGGGGATGTCCAGCCAGGCCTCCGCCCACCTTTTAATTGGATTGTCCTTGTCGAGTTGTGTGAGTTCTTTACGTAGTTGGAGATTCACCCTCACCAGATACGTGGCTCTCAAGGCTTCTTCCCATTCCCTATGTTGCCTTTTCATTTCGCTCATGTTTTTTTCCTGTAAAGACTCTTTTTAGTTTGATGTAGTTTTACTTGTTTATTTTTTCATTTTGTTGTTTGTGCTTTAGGTGTCTTTTCCAAAAAATCATTGCCATTTTTAAAGACCCACATCAAGGAGCTTTAAAAAAAAAAAAAAGTTCACTTCCGGGGGTTTTATGCTTTCCGGCCTCACGTTTAAGTCTGATCCATCGTGCACGGACTTTCGCCTGCGCTGTGGGGTGGCGGCGCCGCTCCATTCCGTGCACGTGGCCGCCCCGTCTTCCCAGCACCGTGCGCTGAAGGAACTGCACGTTTTCCTTGGACCGCGCTGGGCTCCCTCGTCAAGTGTGAGCTGACCGCGCGTGTGGAGTGTACATCTGGGCCCTGCCTTGTCCCCTTGATCTGTGTGTCTCTGATGCCAGCACATGCCGTTGGATTCGTGCAGCTTTGTAACAGAGCTGGAATCAGGAAGTGCGAAGCCTCCCTTTGTCCTCCCTCAGGATCGCTTTGCCGACTCACCGTCTTCTGTGGTCCTACATAAATTTTAGCATTGGTTTTGCTACTAAGAAATGCCGTCGGATTTCGATAGGGAGCGCACCGTCTGCAGATGGCGTTGGGTGGCGGGGGCGTTCTGGTGTTCAGCCTGGCCCCCGAACACGGGCGAATCCCCCGGACTGCGTCGTGGTCGGTTTCCTGTTTTCTGGTTTCCAGTGCGGAGAGCTTTGCCCCCTCGGCTACGTTCCCTCCTGCGTGCGTCACTGTTCTTGGTGCTGTTGTAAATGTGGCTGCTCGTTTCTTTTTCAGATCACTCACTGCTCTTGTATAGAAACACTACTGATTTTTGTATGTTAATTTTTTACTCCGAAATTTTACTGAATTCATTGTTTATATCACAGTTTGTATACAGGTTATATCTTAGGATTTTCTGTTTATCAAATCATGTCTTTTGCAAATGGAAACAATTTAATTTTTCCTTTTTAATGTTGATGCTGTTTCTTCTCCTCACCCGATGCCTCTGGCCAGACTTCTAGGACTGAGAGATGGCACCCACGTCTTGTCCGACGTCAGAGGAAAGCCTTTCAGCCTCTCACGACTGAGCACGAGGTCAGCTCTAGGCTCCTCGTTTATGGCTGTTACAGACGTAATTTGTGAAGAATTTCTGGCCTTACCAGACGCTGAATTTTGTCACGTGCTTTTTCTGATAGTTTCATTCTTTCCTTCTGTCGACGTGATGCATCACACTTATTGATTCGCCTGCTTGCGCCCGGGTGCGCCCCACCCACCGCGGCCAGGGGCCCTTGCGGGGTGCTGCTGCTGCGCGGAGCATTTCCGCATGTGTCATTAGGTACCAGCCTGTGGTTCTCGTCTCTTCTGTCTCTGGCTTTGGTGTCAAGGTGACACTGGCCTCGTGAGGCGGGTTTGAGTCTTTCCTCCTCTTGAGTTTTTCGGAAGAGTTTGAGAAGAGCTAGCATTAATTCTTCTTCAAACATCAGTGGAACTCACCGGTGAAGCTGTCGGATCTGGGCTTTTTCTTTGTTGGGAGATTTTATTCCTTATTCAATCTTCTTACTAGTAATTGCTTTGTTCAGATCTTCTGGGTCTTCCTAATTCAGTCTGGAAAATTGTATGTTTCTGAGAATTTTCTCACTTCTTCTAGGTTTCATTTGTTGGCATATTGTTAGCAGGTCAGGCTTGGCAGACGGTCGGGCTGGGCTGGACTGAGTGCTGAATTCCGTCGCCGGTCAGGGCCACCCGTGTCACTCTGCATGTGGGGGTGGCTACGGGCTGTGCTCTCTGCCTGGGGCCACAGTCCTCGGGGCGACTGCAGGCCAGCTGCCTGGTGGAGCGGGAGGGCCAGCCGCCAGGACGGCACTGACTCAGCCGGCTCACTGCCCTGGTCCCCTCGAGTGCTGCCGCTGCTCGCTGCCTGGACTCGGGCTCCCCAGCTCTCCAGGGTCCCAGGGGCCGTGTCAGGGCCAGAGCTGTGCGGAGCGGAGGTGGGCTGGAGGGCCGAGCAGCCTCCTGGCCTGAATCCCACCGGCTGAGACCCTGCACTCTGCAGGCAGCACCCAGCCCTGCCAAGGTCTCGTGCCCGCCGTGGCCAGCCCCCCGCCGTCCTCTGAAGCCCTCGTGAGGTAAAACTAGAGTGGGGGCTCCCAAGAGCAGCCCGCAGTGTGGGGGCCGGTGTCGCTGGGGTGCGTTTCCCTGGGGGCCACGGGCTCAGGAGGCGTTTGGCGTGGTGCTGCGGGGCTGCCTCAGACCCGGCGGCCCTCACTGCGCTGCCCGCACGGTGTCCTGCCCACGAGCAGCCATCAGTTCTTGGGGGCAGTGAAGTCTGCGGTGACCTGTGTCACCATCTTGGTGACGTCGCTCTCCCACGTTCAGCTGCTTTAAAATGAACTTCCTGGAGCATGATGTCCCTTGTGTGAGAGCTGAGGGTCTTAGAAGCCTGGGGTGGCAGGCCTGCCAGTGCTCATGTGGATGTATGTGGGGCCGACCACTCCACAAACGTGTCCTGTGACGGGACATTCCCACTGAGCCACCCATGGAAAGAACCTGGTGCGTTTTGGGTGACACCATTTGCTCCCTGGGGAATGAGCTTTCTGGGCGGGTCTCGGAGCCCTGGTCACTGATGCGGCCACGAGAGGGCACGCGGGGCCCCGCTTCATGCTTATCTCCCTGTGTGGCTGTCACTTTCTGCCCAGGTCTCATCTTAGTCACAGAGACTTTTGCCCAAGCCTCTGTCACCAAGAGGCACTGTTTGTCACCATTACGACCGCTCTGCCTCTGACCTGGCATCTCCCCATGGGAACTGTGGCCCTCGTCGCAGCCTGTGGTCCTGGGGTGGCCCGGGGTGGCCCGGGGCTTCAGTGTCCTCGTGGGCAAACCCTGGGTCACACTGGCCAAACGGCCCCTGTGAAGGTGGCCTTCCTGGGGTCAGGTGGGGCCGGAGCGCTGACCTGTCCAGTGAGCAGCGTGGCTTCGACGTGCTCTTCCAGGGTCCTGGGGTTTAGTGTGGTGACTGTGGGTCCAGCAGGACTGCCTGACCTGGGGTGGGGGCCAAGGAGCACTGCCGAAATGACGCCCCCTCCCTGGCTGTGGGTGGCCCCGGTGTGCGTGACGCTTACCTCCTGGAGCACCTCCGGCCTCTGGTTAACATCAGTGCGTGTGACGCCAGCCTCTTCTCATTCCTGACCTTCTGGTGCCTGGGTCCAGGCACAGTGTCACAGCCATGGCCGACTGCTGTGAGGCAGGAGCCTTGCTCCGAGGTCACTGGCAGATGCCACTGTGGGGTCGCGTTGCTCACACAGTCTCCAGCCTGGGCCCCGCGCCAGGCACACTGGCACTTGGGGGGTGGGGTCCCCACCGGTGCCGAGCCCGGCAGAACCACAGCGAGCAAGGGGCGGGGCCCGTGCCCCATGGTCTCGGTTCCAGGTGAGCCACAGTGGGAGGCGGCGGCCATGGCGGGAGCACCGCGCCACCACTTTCGTGGTCTAAAATGACATCTAAGGGCTTCTGGTGACGCTTTTGTTTGCTTTTTGTGACATGACAGCAGAGGTTGGCCCCTCGGCTCTGTGGCCTACATCCAAGGCTGTCACTTGGCCATCGTGGGCGTTTCTGGCCTGCGGCGGGGGGGGGGGGGGGAAGCCGGGTGGCAGTGTCCCCTGAGCTCTTGGTCTGCTCTGTCGTGACATTTACCAGGGAGCAAGCAGGTGCACCCTGGGAGGCGGGGCCAGGCTCCAACCCCATGACACCGGCCCCCTCTGAGGGCTGCCCCAGCACCTTGGGCACAGAGGGCTGTGGACGGAGCCCACCGTCCTCGCCGTTGGCAGGGGACTTGGAGGGTGGACACGGTCAGTCTCAGCTGCGTCCCAGAACCGCGGCCGTTTGTCTTTCCGTCAGACTGATCTTTTTCTCAATCTGTCATTAGGTGCAAGGAGCGAGTTTCCGAGGATGGAAAGAGGTGACGTCCCTGTTTGACAGCGAGGACGAGCAGCACCTGCTGGGGGCCCCGGAGTCCCCCAGGTCCCAAGGGTGAGTCCCCGGGGGCCAGGGCACACCTGCCGGGACACGGCCAGCCCAGTGTGGGCTGGGGTCCGAGAAGCCTCAGGACAGCCAGCAGGGCAAGTGACAGTCACATCCTTGCCCCCACGCGTACACAGGCAAGCTGTCAAGGGGGCAGCAGAGTCCAGCTTGGTCTGAGAGGGCCACGCAGGTGCAGGTGGCCGGCTGAGGGGCAGAGATGGCCTGTACTCAGCCACCCCTGCAACGTGTGGAAAATGGGGAAGAAAAGTTAAAAATGTGAAGGGCTGACTCGTAAACTGTTAAGATTCTAGAAAAGCGAACGTTTCAATGGACACATTAGCGCTGGTTTACGATAAACACTTCGGAAACGTGAAGGTGTGCCCGCAGGTGGGTGTGCGGGTTCAGTGGTGACTGATGTGTGACCAGCGGCCTGGCTGACCAGACAGCAAGCCTGGGGCCTCGCCATGAGGGATACGCTGGTTCGAGGCCGAGCTGCCTTGGCGACCTCGCCCAGACCCTGTGCGGGGACACATGAACCAGCCCCTTGGAGTCAGCGTCTGCCAGGGCCTCGAGAAGCCCCTGCATGCTGGCCCTCCGTCCAGCTGCGTGGATCCTGGACACTGCCCGGGACCCAGCAGTCGGGCTGCAGGACCAGGCTCTGCCTGGAGACCTGTCCCCACCGCAGGTCGGCCATCCCTCTGGGGTCACCTACCAAATGCCCGAAGATGGGAGCTGGGTGCTGGGAGCTAGGTGTGGGGCCCCGCTGGAAGTGACCATTAAATCCTGTTCTGACCTGGGCCCTAACCACCTTCATGGGCTCGGCCGGACGCTGTCACGCCGCCCCACGCGCCCTACGGCTTCCCCGACTGTCACCAAGTGTGCCACCTTATACGGCTTTCATGAGCTCCATTAATACGTGTAATGACTGATTTCTCGTTTCTAAAGTTTCACGTATAGATTTGTGTCACCTCTGCACAGTTCACGTGTTTTCAGAGCAGAACCCTGCGTTCACTGAGGCACCAGCACTAACCTCTTCCGCCCCCCACAGAACTCACCTGCGGCCGAGAGAGGAGCCGAAGACGGAGAAGAAGTCGGGGTTCTGGGAGCACTTGGCTTTGAAACAGAATACCCAGCCTAAGAAGCCAGATGAGATCGAAGGCTGGGAGCCTCCAAAACTTGCCCTTGGCAACATGGCAGCCGAGGCAGGTGACACCGTGACTGACTGCCCGAGCCGGCCAGGCTGGGAGCCGGGCGCCAAGGGCTCAGGCGGGTACAGCAGCCTGGCCGGCTCAGCACACGCCTCCCGCTGGAGCCTCAGGTCGGCCGGCCGGGCGGTCAGCATCAGACGCCAGGGCAGAGGCCACCTGATGGGGGACTGGGAGGAGCTGGAGTGACCGTCAGAGGGGACGCCGGGGCCAAGCTTGGAACCAGAACCTGCCACAGGAGCAGCTTCGCCTCACGTCACACGGGGCGTCTGCTCCAGTGTTTCCAGTCGCTGACCTTGCCTGTGGGTCTCCCCTGGCCCTCCGCCCTCACATGCCCCCACACGGGCTGTGGGCGGTGCCTTACTGGGGACGCGTCTGCCGCGTCCCATGTGTGGCTGACACTGGAGATGTGAATTTTGATGCTGTCCCCTAAGACAGCAGCTATGATGTCCAGCTCGCCACACGGTGTCCATGCCATCCTCAGCTGTCTTTTGGTGACACGATGCCTTCCTCCCGCAGGTGTCCAACTGGTGACACGCCGGCTCGCTATGCCGCTCGCCATGCGAGTGTCAAATCTCATTTCACCTGGAAAAGCTTTTTCCTATTAAATTTAAAACGTGTAAACGAATGTGCTAGAGAAGCAGAGGTTCCTTCCACGTGACCGGCACGAAGGCCGCGCTGTCTGCAGAGGCCGCCGCCTCCCGCGGGTGGACGGTGACAGTGCAGCCCCTCTGGGGGCTTTGTTTTCCCTTCTGGGCTTCTACATATTGATCTTTATTTTCTTCTAAAGTTTTGTTCTTTTCTGATTATAGATTAAAGAATGCTGGATCAATTTTAGTAACTTAATGCTCTTAATTTTGTTTGGAAAATGGTAACTTGCTCATTGTAGGGTTAAAACTGTGTGAAACGCTGCAAGTGCCTCTTTTCTATAAAACGCAGGACTTTCTCAACAGGAGACACAAAGGCCTGCTGGCCGACTGGGCGGCACCGCTTTCTAGACGTGCTCTGTCCTTGGCAACGTGCCCCCGTGTCCGGTACCGCAGGTGTGTGTCCCGGGCAGGACAGCTGTCGTCAGCTCTTAGGCAATGGTCGTGTGAGAGAAAAGGTTAGGATTTTCGTTCGTTCGTTTTTGGTTAAAAACAGCGGGTTACACTGTGCGTTCCTCTCATGAAGGACGTGGGTGTTTGGGGCGTGCTCGGGTGGGAGCCGTGGGCACGCCTGCTGGCAGGGGTCCCGATGGGCAGCAGCATCTGTCACCCGTCACCCGCTCTGTCCATCCACCCCCTGCCTTTTCCAGAAGAACGAGGTTACTCGACTGAGCCTTCAAAGGGCCGTGTTGTGAGTGGTGTCGAAACCGAAGTCCAGTCGTGCTGGGACCTGGACGGCAGGGTCCAGAGTCCTGTCTCCTCAGGTGAACGGTCCGGCGTGCAGCCCACCCGAGCAGCCCACCCTGGACCGAGGGCAAAGCCGCTGAGGTTGGAACGCGCACTGTCACCCGCAGAGATGGAAAACGGCTCCTCTCCTCGTGCCTGAGAAATGAAAATAACTGTGCGTGCTCTAGGAGAAAAGTATTTTTTCTTCATAGAATTTACCAAAGCAACTGTTTTGTTCACAAGTTGAGAGAAATGTGGTTTTTAGGGTTTTTGTTCGAATTTTGTATACGAACAGCTGTGAGGAGCAAACGGCTGCTTCTGTCCCGCTGACGTGGAGTGGTGGCTTCAAAGGTCGAACTCATCCTCAGTGCTGAGGGTCTGAGAAATGAAGATGTCGTTTCTGTCCTCGTCCCTCGTCAGCTTGCATGACTGCGGGGGCATCTTAGCCGTCAGTGCTTGCGGCGACGTCGCAACTCAGAGCTAATGGCACTTCTGACACTTTAAACCTCATTTTAAAATGCAAACCATCTATGCAAATTGTTCTCATGAATAAATGGCTGGTTTCTGCCTACGTGCTCAGGTGTGTGTGTCACGTCTTTGCACCCTCTGCGTCGCTGTGCCTCTGCAGTGACCTGGAGCTGTCAGCCCCCCTCCAGCCGAGGGACAGCGAGGGCCAAAGGACGGACAGCAAGAGGAGCGAGGGGCCGTCTTCGCCCGTTCACCTCGACCTCTGGAAGGAGGGTCGTCTCTCAGAAAGGTCTTCTTCGGAAGCGGTGTCCCCTGCAGTGGGGAGGACAGCCTCCCGGGGGGACTGGGGGACTGTGCATCAGCTGCAGGCAGGGCCTCCCTGTGCATCTGCGGAGGGCTGGGTGGGGACAGGTGAGGCACTGCCCTGCCTTGCAGTGCGGGTGTTCTCAGCAGCTGCTTCTGCCTCTGCTTCCCCTTGCTGGACTCTCTGGAAAGCTCATCGGTTGGCTTGGCACCGTCACGGAGGCCACGGCCGTCCACACCCTCCCCATGGCTCGCTTTCCCCGCAGGGCGAATGGCAGTTCTCTCCCTCCTCCGTGCCCCGTCCCCCCACACCTGCCCGCTCACCTGCTGCCCCGGGGGGCCCTCACCTGTCCTGGTGCCCAGCTGCCTGGCGTGCCCCATGCACGTGGGGGGCCGTCCGATGGTTTCAGACCTACCTGTGGGCCTGCATCACTCACGTCCAGTTCTTTCCTGGCCGCTGTCATTGGCAAGGAACTTTGTCTTCTGTCCCCTGCGCCCTCTCCCAGCCTGCTTTTACCATTTACCCACTTTCTGGTTTACATGGTGGTTCCCCAATTAATCGATCACTGAACAAGGACCAGCAGGCGGGGGCGTCAGAGAGCAAGCTTTCGAGAGAGACGCTGGTCAGGACAACTCTTCCGGCTTTAACAAAGGTGGTGACAGTGCCAAGTGACCGGCAAGGGCACTTCCTGGAGCCCTGTCGGCTGCCTGGTAGGAAGGAGTTTTCACGTGATGGGTGAGGACACAGGCCCCGTCCTCCCGTGTGACGTGCCGCCTCGCACGCAGTGTGACGGACGTGCGTGCGTCAACCAGCAGATTTAAGCTGCGGAGCGACTGACCCCAGGGCACAGGGCTGTGACTACAGAGCTGCAGGTGAGACCCCGGAGCACTGAGCGGCTGGGATGGTGCCCAGGGAGTGACCTCACGCACTGCAGCTCAGCCTAACGAAGCCCTGCTGACCGTGCAGCCTGTTCCCAAACAGGCACTGTTGCTCGCCGTGTGAGCCCTTCCTGCTCCCAGGGCGCTCCCGGCGTCACCCACACCCTGGTGTCCCCAAGCAGCCACCCCAGCTCTGGTGCTCAGAGCGAGCAGGTCTGTCTCCATGCAGGTCCACTCACAGACGTGGCCCCTTTAAGAGGCGTCTGCCGCGGCCACAGCCGCGGCCTCCGTCCCACTCGAAGCTGGCGACCCGGCGGCCCCGCGTCCTCGCCCCATCTTGCCTTCTGCCGTTGCAGGCCGACCCCTTAGTTCTCTCCCTAGCTGCAGTGCTTCTGTTCGTCTAGACCCCGGGCGACTGTGACTGCTGTTTGCTGTTTCTGTCACAGCTGTGGTCGCAAGAGGGATGAACAGGGCCTCTATCAGCTACGTCTTTTTTTTTTCCAAAAGTGAGTTTTACTTTTGAGAAGAGTTGTTTTTTTGAGACTAAGGCTTCAAAATGCTCTGCTCCCCAGAGGCTCCAGAGCGCGCAGATGCCAAGGACCTTCGTAAATAATCTTCAAAGCTCAACAAAGCGGAAGCACCGAGAACGCGTCTCCCGGGGAAGCGGTGCAACCCCCTGAAGCCGCCCACCCTGCGACACGCAACCCAGGGCTGAGGGGAGGGCGCTGTACCTGAGTATTTCACTGTTCCTCTCATGTCACGTTTGGGGGCTTATGTGCCTTCAAAAAGTAATGAAATAAGAGATTACAAGTATTGGGAAGATATTTCAAAATATGAATAATTACCTTAAAGTAGAACTATGGGTAACATTTAAAATTTTCTGTGTATTGGCTTAAAACTTTAAATGAACATACGTTTCTTTTGCAATTGAAATGCAGGACGGCAGGTATAAAAGGGTAACGTTACGTAGCTTTTTAAATGGAAAGCGTTGAACACACAGAGAGGAGACTGTGGACGCTCGTCTCCCAGCCCTGCATCCGCATGGCCCGCCTGTCAAAGAAAAAACCATGTGACTCGTGAAAAGCATATGCCACTAGACTTTGCATCGGTGAGGTCTGAATGCTCACACACTCTTGGGCACGAACTGTCCGTGGCTGCTTGGCGCTACGGAGGAGGAGCTGAGTGGCTGCGAGGGAGAACGTGTCCCCGCAGAGCCAGAGCTGTTCACCTTCTGCCTCTTGACAGAAAGGGCGTGCTGACTGCGCCCACCCTTCCAGCCTCGACTGTCAACTCCTGGCCGATTCTGCTTTATCTCTAGTTGCCTCCTGCCCCTGACCAAGTGAATTCCCTTAAAGTGATCCCAGGCCTCCTGTAACTCATCATCTTCATGTCTGAATACAAAGCCAGGTAAGACTTCCCCAGGTAGTCATGACAACCATAAACACAGTTGAACCAAGTATCGGAGCACGTAAATACATGGAGTAACAAACACGTGGCTCTGCTGTAACAGGCTTCAACATCCCACTTTCAACAGGGATAACGACACCTAGTGTTTGATGAATCAATAAATTTAATACACAGCACAGAATGAAGAAAGAAAATTCAACTGATGCAGGAAAAGCATTTGACAAAATTCAACCCCCCTTCATGATAATGATACTCAGCTAGGAATAAAACTGCCTCGACATGATAAAGGCCACGCAGAAAGCCCACAGCCCACGTGCTAGTCAATGACAAAGGACTGAGAGCTTCAGGGCAAGGGGACCACTCACCACGTCTATTCAGCATGCGACTGACAGCTCGAGCCAGAGCGATCAGGAAAGAAAAAAATAGCATCCAAATTGGAAAGGAAGAAATAAAATTCTGTTTGCAGATGACATTATTTTATATGTAGAAAACCACAAAGATTCTATAAAACACACAAAAAACCCAGCACGTCAGCTATGTTCCTATACACCGACAATAAGAAACATGAAAAGGAAACAGCAAATTCCATTTGTAGCAGCAACGAAAAGAATAAAATGCTTAAGAATGAACTTAACCAAGGTGGCTTAAAGCAGGTACAGTGGAAAATGCACAATGTTGCTGAAAAGCACACAGCAATGGAGGGGACCTGCGTTCATGGGACCGGAGGCTGGATGACGCCAACGCCCCCCGAAGCCATCGACGGACAAGCCGCAATCCCTACCGAACCGCAGTGGCAACTCATTTTGCAGAAATAGAAAAATCATCCTAAACTTCAGAAGCATCACACTTTCAGATCTCAAAACTCTACAAAACTACGGAAACCACAACAGACACGCAGACCACGGCAGAGGACTGCCCAGAAATAACCCTGCACGTGCGGTCACATGACTTTCCACGGTCGTGCTGGGGCCACTCAGTGGGGAGAGGACGGTCTCTCCAACAAATGATGCTGAGAAAGCTGGACCCTTACCTCATCCGCGTGCCCAAATCAGAATGGGTCGAAGACGTGAACCTGCAGAACTCCCGCAAGAATACGGGGAGGGGGTGCTGACGCTGGGCTTGCCAATGACTCACCGGATGTCCCCTGCAGCGGGGAGGATGGCCTCCTGGGGGTACCGGGCGTGGTGGCAGGATACACGCTCTGGACGCAGACACCATTGGGAGCGTTCTGCTCGTATGTCACGGAAGGCGGCCCATCTGCCCGCAACCCGGCTACATGGGACGTTCACAGGCACACGTGGACATGGTCACTTGTGGCTGTTTTCTAGGCTCACCGTGACCCACGCAGCTCTTTCAGACCCGTGAGTGTCCCCGGATGAGACAGCCTAAGGACGGGGGAGGGAAGTGGCGACGGGCTGCCCGGGCTTCCTGTGCGTGGCAGTCCGGGCTCGCAGGCACCGAGTGCCAGTGCTGACTGGGTGTCCTGCTCCATGGGCCACCTTGGGAGTGAGGCACGGCCTCTGCTAGGGCACAGAGGGTGCCTGACACTGCTGGTCTGTGGCTCTTGGTCCCGCAGTCCCCGTTTCACTGCAAACCAACAGAGCAAGGGCCATCGAGGCAGCGGCCGCGGCAGCCCAAGACGGACCCGGATTCGGAGAGCGCTGGCGTGGCCCTCTGCCCCTCCCACGTCTCCTCCCCTCCAGTGTCGGGTCTCCTGCCGGACACTGTCCTCGTGGTCAGTCCTGCCAGCTGCAGCCCCCATACACCGACAGACGGTTAGCCAGGAGAAAGACCTGCGGTTTCAAGAGACTAACACCCTTCCAAGAAAAAGTAAACGCAAAACACCAAAACCCGAAAAGTAAAAAAGGCCAAGAACACACAATGTGATTTATCAAAATCAAAAGCAAATGGCCAGTAAATAGAGAAGCGTTAAAGCTCACATCCCGTTCCTCGCTCATTACAGCAGCAGCAAGGAGAGGCGGTAGCGTCCTGGAAACACGCTCTGAATGGTTAGACTCGTGACCTCAGTTCTCCCGTTCACCGTAAAGGGACAGACAGAGGCACAGGCGTTCACCACAGAGCCACTGCTGGCAAGAAGAATTGGAAACAACTTGAAAGTCTGATAAGTAACCAAAAATGCCATGTTTTCACAAATGCGTTTGAAAAAAAGGCTGATTACGAGAGGAAAACCGCACACCGGAAGCCGACGGTTTTAGGGCAGGCTCCTCTCAGGACGCAGGGCCACGAGGTCCCTACTTCGCACGCAGAAGGAAACTCGTTTGACAGTTAAGCATATTCTTGGCCATGAGGCTCAGACCAGCATGGAGTGTGGTGCTGAAAACCCAGAATCTTTATTTACAAACATGCGAAACTGCAAATTTCAGTGTGCTGAGAAGAGGCTGAAGGGAGTGGAAACAAGTTTGCTCGGATCCCCTGCCATGGACTCCACGATGCAACGACGCGACCACACGTGTCCTCAGCAGCTGCCCCCTTCCTCGCAAGCACAGGATTATGGGTAGTTTTATTTTGTTTTATACATTATCATTTTGTGGAAATTTTATGGTCAAAACTTTATAAAATAAACGCGTTATTTAAAAAAATAAGAGTCTTTTAAAACTTTAAACGAGTAACATCAACTTTTTTCAGTAAGTTACAAAACCAACAAAGTTGAATCAGTAACGTGATTTATTACTTGTCTATAAAAGCGCGTCCAGTACAGGGGTCGGGGGCACTGGGCTGCCCGACGCGTCACGCTCAGCACTATGCCCTTCACGGTGCCGCTGCCAACAGTCAGCGTCTGTCCGTGACGCCCAGGAGCAAGGCCACTCACCCTGCGGTCACTTAGACACAGCCAACACCATGAAAGTGCATCTTAGGAAAAACGCTCTGCATGCACAGTGCATGTACGAGGCTCAGTTGCTCTGTCCCCCGCCCCCAACCACCGCAAAATCGGGAAACTATGATTTGACAATTAAGAAGCATGTTATTGGCTGCTAGTGTCAGTTCAGCACAGAATATAGTGCTGAAAATCCAGAATCTTTTTTGAACCATATTATTATGCAAAGTTGCAAACTTTAATATGCTTAGAAGAATTTTTTAAAGAAAGGAAATGATTTCACTTGGGTCCCCTGACCCCCTTTCAAAGATGAAAACACACAGTAAAGCATCTGTACCCTGCGGGTGCCGAGGAGCAGCTGTGCTGGCACAGGAGGCCCTGCCACCAGGGCCGCTTAACCAGCTCCTGCACACGCACGGGCCGCCTCCCACAGCGACACAGCAGGGCGAGGCGCCTTTAGAACTTGAAAAGGTCGATGAAGTGCTGCGGAGACACGGGCATGAAGCAGCTGTCGGGGTCTGCGGCCGTGCAGGGGTGTCCGGAGTCCTGAGGGAGGAATGGAGAGGCGTCACACACATCAGCCACCAGCTCCTGCTCTAACCGGTCCCCGGACCCCATCTCAAAGGCGTGTGGACGGTAACTGGTGAGAGTTCTGGAAGCGGAGGCAGAGTGGCAGTTCTCAGCAGAAACTTCCGGTCGGGATTTCTGCTCAAGCCGCGAGTGGGTGGGCGCAGGGCCAGTCCCCGTGGGCTGTGCCTGGCCCAGGGCGGGGCAAGGGGACCCCGGGGTTCTACCTCCCTAGTCCTCGCCACGCCCTTTCACTGGGATACTGTGACACCGTGCCCTCGGGACCCCTGCCCGGCACTCCTACAGCACGTAGCTAAAGACCCAGGCCTGGACCCGGCAGAAAAATGATAAAAAACATACAGGTTTTGTGTAAGAAGACGACAAACCTAAGAGAATGAGGAGCCCAGAGAACAAAGGCCAACAGGTGAGCGGCCACAAGTCAGCACACCCTCCTGGCATGGCTGTGGCCAGCGACCCGACGCTCCAGGTACCGTGAGGTGCCCCCACCTGAGGACAGTTGTATGGATGTGTCCAGAGCCTCCCCGTAAGGCCAAGCCTCTGCCGCTCAATGCTGCACTTAAGGTGTGTCATGAAAACTCTTTGGTGGTGGCCAAAGCGAGAGAGTCGCAGCTTGGCTGCCGGCCACACCTGTGAGCCGTGCTCTCGGGCCGCTGCCAGCTATGTGTCGCTGGTCTCCTAGGCGGGGGCTGCAGGGCCCACACGGCACCTGGATTTGGTCCCCAGACCCCAGCAGGGCAGGTGTGGGGAAGCACAAGGTACCTTGAACAACAAAGCAAGGCGGCAGTCCTCGGAGGCGAAGACAGATCAGGAAGGGATGCAGCAGGGGAGGGAAAAAAGGAGAAAGATTAGAAAGAGCCAGGCTGCACGCAGGTGATTCAGTTCGATGCACGTCGTTTACGAAAACTAACAGCACCGGCAACTGAACACAGACAACGAAATGTACTGAAGTCAACACAAGACCCCGGCAAACGCCCCAAAGACCCACACGCTCGAAGCCGGTCTTCAGACAGACGATCCCCACGCCCTCCTCGGGCCCTCGACCGTGGCGCCGGACAGCCCTCGCACTGTCCACAGAGTTGTCAGGCAGTGCTGACGTCGCCACGTCGCGTCCACACTGAAAAAATGGACGAGGGACTTTCCAGACGTCCCTCGCCCCTGCGCTGTGCTGGGCGCAGCTGCCGCAGTCCCCTCTGCCGAGTCGCAGCTGTCAGCAAGGCCAGCACCGCCTGCTGCCGTCCCCACGTGCGACCCCGCTCGCTGGCCCCGCGGCCCCTTGGAAGGTGAGCGTGCACCAGCCAGCCCGCACAGCCTCCCGGGGCGCTGGGGTGGCGGTCGTGGGCACAGCACCCGCACGACCCAGACCAGGTTTCCCAACCGGAGGTTCCAGCCGCCGCCCTGGTCCTGACCCCGTGACCCGCAGTGTGGAGCTGGGCACCTGTGGGCATTCTAGCCGTGGACACAGTGAAACAAAAAAGGACACAGGGTCTTGGCTCCTGGTCCCGACCTCTGACCACCCTCACTCGTTCCAGTTGTAACTGAAGTTTCAACTTGAGAAGTAGAGACATTCGGGTGCAGAGTGAGGAATAAAACAGCTTCGTGTGGCCGGCTGGTGACCGTGCCTTCTCCCTCTATAGCTCCTCGGTGGCCCCGGGCCAGGGGTCACCTCGGTAGACCCTCCTAGGGTCACTAACTTTGGTCGCACAGGTCAGCACAGCTGAAGGCACCGCCTTTACGCCCCCTGCTCGCGCTCACGGGCAGGTGGAAAACAGACCTCGCCCAGGGAGCTTTGGCCAGAACAGGTGGACCACGCAGGCACGTCTGATACGAAGCGACGACACGTAACCAGATGCTGGGCGACCGGCGGGTCTGGGCCTGCGTGGACACACGGACCAGCAGTGTGCCCCACCGCCACGTCCAAGGCTTTCCCAGTCCACACAACGCTCTGGGGGATGCTGAAGAAAACAGGTAAACACGCCAACTGCGAGCCGGGCCCAGCAAGCGCAGCCCTGACACTCCGCGCGGCCGCGCCCGGCACCAAACGCCGCTGGGAGACGAGTGCGCCCGGCCGGCCCTCGCTGCCCCCACACCGCCCGCCCCTGTGCAGCTGGCTGCAGATGTGGCCGGGACACGGGCAGCAAGTCGGGGAGACAGGCTTCCTCGACAGCCAGCCTGGAAGCAGGGCCACCAGAAATTCCTGACATTGATCTTTTTTGACATTTCCACATACAGGTTCAGAAATGTAAAAGCTGCCGTAACCGCCTCTCCTGGCGTGACGTCGGCAGCAAGGGCTGAACTGTGACACACGGAGGCCAGTCCTCCGAGGCAGTCGTGACGGCAAGGTGTGGCCTCCACAGCTTCACGGGCACCACTGAGCACACAAAAGGGTGGGCAGGCGCCCGTGAGGAGATGTTCCTAATTGTCACAACGAGGTTCAGTGAGACAGGAAGGCTCACTAAAAGAATCTGCAGGCAAATTATTTTGGAAAGCTACAACAGCCTCTCCATTTTTAAGAATTGGAACTTCCAACTTCAGGCACCAAGGAACAGTGTCTCATGTCAGTCACTAAGAGGGAGCCACACGCTCCCCGGCCTCGTTCTTCAGAAGTCTCTCACCGTGTACAAGGCTGGGAGACTTTAATCCCGTGAACGGTGTTTTCCCCAGAAACGTGTCGCTGCTTCTCACTTTTCTTTAGAATAAAAGTCTGCTCAAGAGAAAAGCAGAAAGCTCTTGGGAGAAGCATCAATTTAAGGTAGAAACTGAAGGTATGTCACCTGTCATTGAAGATACAGCCTCATGCATTTCCAGTCCCTGCTGGTGATTCTCTGAGATGCGAGGAACTGCTGAGGGGTCAATCTGGTCCCATGAGGCGGGACCCCCAAGGCCCCCACAGGCACCTCTTCTCTGCCCACCAACATCTGCCTGTGTGTCTTTGCAGACAACATACCTGCCCTGCTGCGTTTCCTGTGCCCTGTCACTGGACAATAAGGCTCTCTCCTGTGTCTCTATAATCCCCAGTGACACTTCCCGTGCCTCGTGGCGCGGGCCTAGCACCCAGGGCAACGAACTCGGACACGATGCTCCCTGCTCTCGGGAATGACGGTGCCACTACAAACACGTAATGCACTTCGCCTTTCTCAACGAACGGGAAGTGACCAGATCCCGCATTTTCCACAAGGTGCCTACCTCCGACACCGTGAACAACGCTAGACACTCAATTTCTGCACCCCCACGGCTCAGTCACAGACTATGATTATTTTAACAGCCATGTGATCGTAAATGTAATTCGAAATAAAAAAAAAGTGAACGTGCTCGTATCTGACAATCTAGGTCCCGTGTGTCCATCCGGCCAGTTGCAGGTAACACGGAGCATATGATTCGGATGCCGACAAGCCCCGTGCTGCAGAGCCCCACGGTTACACTGCAGCCGAAGGCCCTGTCGCCTAGTGACCCGCCGTCGGGATGTGGCAGCGCCACTCGTCACTCACGTGTAGCCCTGCCTCGTGGCACACGGTCACATACTGTGACACCCGAGAGCAGACGCGTTACCGGGGCGCGTACCTACTTCCTGTGCTTGATCGTCCTTCGGCTGCTCCGCTCGCAGAGGTCGCTGAGGCGCGGCAGCCGTGCAGCGCGTCTCAAGGCTGCTGTGCGTCTCGGATGCACCATTTGGCCTGACGTAATCTCACGTTGGTTTGTACAGTCACAAGCTGTACAGGCTGGTAGCCAGGTGTGTGAGTGCCTGTGTGACGTTCGCACGACGAAATCACCAGTGACACATTCTCAGAGTGTGCCCCCTCGCCCCGTCCCTGAGCAGCACGTGACCGTGAACAAACAAGCGTGGTGTTCAGGTACGAGGTGAGGGACCATGAGGGACCCTCCAGGAGGTGAGGGCCTTGGTGAGTCAAGGGACGCACAGTCACACTCACGACCAGCTGACGAGTGTCACCTCTTTTCCTCCAATGAAATCGCACACCGGATGTATTCAAACTCAAGACAGTGCACGGAAAGGCGTGCCAGATGACTAACATGACGTGGCAGGAACATAGCCTGTCACTGCAAAGGAGGCACGCAGAAGCTTACCCACGACCGTGGAACCCGTCTTCGTCAGGGAAAGGCTGCATGGCGCAGTCAGACTAACGACAGGGGAGCCTCGGGCAGAGGGCGCCCACTCCCCTCTGATGCTGAAATTGCCAGGCACGAAGGGTCCCAGTCCAGGTGCTCGCTGAAGGCTCAGACTTGTGGATCAGCATGGGGGGCCCACTCAAGGTTTGGCCCAATCACTTTAAAGTCTGGGACAGGTATCAGGAGCTCTGAGGAGGGGAGCCACCTGGGGACACTGTGGGGGGAGGGCTGTCCCTGGGATCAGTTCCATCAATAGCTGGGGACGGGCTGTGGGAGGAAGGCCCAGCTTGGGGAAAGGTAAGTAAACTTCTTCCTTTTCCTCAGGTCGAGGGTAGGCAGAAAGCCCAGAGCCACTGCCAGGAGAAGCCACCAGCCCAGGACCGGGACCCAAGGACGCCAACCTCCCCTCGGGGATGCGGCCCCACAAGCTTGACAGGGAGAAGAGAGCCGTCCAGGGAGAGGAGGCGGCCAAGCATTTCGCCCTCAACACCTGACGCAAACCTCAGCAGGCTTCGCCTCCGTGGACCTGTCCCCTGCCCCGGTGACATGCAGCTCACCGCCTTCCTCACCACAGACAGGATTCCCCATTTCCCTGACCACTGCATTTAAAACACCAACGAATAATCTGTTCCACCAAACTGCCCCCTGCAAGCCGAAGAGCGCGTGTGGGGCGCTTACCTTCCAGAAGAGGATGCTGCAGTGCCGGCAGAAGTGCAGCGTGTCGCCGTACTGCTCCCTGGCGGGGTAGTGCTTCCGGAGCACGAAGTACATCAGCTTCCAGTCCACGTGGCCGCTCTCGGAAAGGACCAAATGTCTGCAAAACTGGACACCGGCAAACTGCTCAGAAGTTTCGCTGAAGAACGTTAGGTGCAAAACGATTTAACGCAGTGCAAGAAACGTGAAATTATTTGAAATTGGAGTTGGATTAAATCAGACTGATACGTCCGGCCCACGGGCACCGGGCGGCGTGAGACGGGTCCAGGTAGTCTGATCCGGAGCGACGTCCGTGGTGCGTGATTAAGCCAACCTAAGTCTCATCGCCGAGCTGTAACCACACGTGAGTACAACACCGTGTGTCGACCGTAACCGAAAACGAACCCAAGTGCCCACGTCACACCCCCAAAACGGGACCGGTATGTGGAACAAAGAACACGCGCACGTCAGCAGTGACGAGAGCCCACCCGAAAAATGGGCGAGCACTTGAAAAGACACGTCCCCAAAGGTGCCAACCTCTCAGTCACCAGGGAAGCGGATGAGACACCACCTCACACCCATGAGGGGGCTGCGCCAGGTGACACCAAGTGTAGATGAACTAGTGAAGCGGGAGGATGTGAGGTGGTTTAGCCACTGTGGAGACAGCCTAAGGGGCCCACGAGAATCTGAACATGCAGTTACTGTCTGACCCAGAATCGCCACCCAGAACGAGAGTGCAGGCAAATGCAATGTCACAGCGGTGTGACTCATGACAGCCACAGGTGCAAGCGACCCAATGCCCATGACGAACGGGACAGATGAGGTCTGTCCACAGAGTGGAGTAGCAGTGAGCTGTGAGGATCGCAGGCTGACATCTGCGACGGACACCACGCCACGGGAACAGCCCATCGCATGAGGCCCAAGCATCCTGACTCCACTTAGGACAGGCCCATCTGCAGGGACGGGGATGGGGCCTGCTTGGCGCTGGGCTCAAGCCAAAGGGCATGGGGCTTCCTCCTGAAGTGATGAAAACATCCCAAAGTTGACTGGAATACAGGCTACAGTGTGAATGACGTCCTAACGAAGGTGTGAAAAATGAGCGTGCACAGCAGATCAAGTCTGTGTGTGCCTAACAGCCTGAACGACAAGCCCGCACTAAGTGACCTGGCAGAGGCCATGCGGGGAGGGGAGGGCTGAGGAGGGGAGGGCTGAGAAGGGGAGGGCAGGGCCTTCTGCCTTTTAAACACCGAGCAGGTGGAGTCGGAGACGCTGCATGCTCACTCCCAGACCACGAGGCAAGCATCGAATACAGCAAGCCGGAATCTTTCTGCTGGTAAAGGGTCTTGGCTTCAATTAGTGAAAAACACACTGTCTGTGAAGCACACTGACATGACATGTGTCTGTGTCGGTCCCTCATAAAGCCTGGTACAGACACACACGCCTCGCTTTCTATTTGAAAACGATCGCTTGGGTAGTGGACACAGACTTCAGTCACAGCTTCTGAGGACTTTGAGAAACGCATTCTGAGTCAATGAGAAAATTCTTGTTTCTAATAGAATTTGCCAGGAGAAAAGCTCAAAAAAGAAAAATAGTTACAGGCCCGATTATGTTAGTTTCTGTGTCCTCCAGGCGTCGGTAAGAAAGGGCCCCTGGAGAGTAAAACCTTGTGGCTTCACGTCCAACTCCGCGCCATGCCAGCGGTCATGGGGAGAAAGACCCACTGCTTCCTCCTGGATGGCCCCGATTTTCCTCACCTCAAACCTGACGTCCACATCAGATGCTCACGTCAGCACTGTCTCAGATTAACCGAATCAGCCGTCCCTCACATGTCACCCGTGCCACCCATAAAGCTGCTTCCAGTATGCTGGTCCCTCTCCAGTGTCTCAGCATTAGTTACTGAGACCCCGAGAACAGACTGTTTGTTTTGGATGCTGCGTCTTTACGCTTAGTCAGGAAAACCTAAGCAGACAAGACGCACCTGCAGGTGCTCACTGATGACCACAAGCATCTGGTGCAGGACACAAACCCTCTGTCAAGGGGCGGCTTTAGGGAAACGCAGGGGCCGCACGAACGACCCATCCGGCACCCTCCCGGGCACCCAGCACGTGGCTGGGTCCCGGCACACACACAGAGCCGGCGGCCAGCCAGGCGCACCTAGCAACCCGCGTGGCACCACCTGCCCGTTCCCCAGACGCACCAGCGCCCCTCCCTGGTGAAACCCTCTATGCACGCAGCGGCCCCAGACCCTGAGGGGGATTTGCATTCCATCTACTTCCTTCCCCATTCAAGCCAACACCGACTCTCTAACCCTACAGCCCACACAAGTCCGCCTAGCACAGTCTTCCCCGGGGCCACTCGTCAGCGCTGCAGACCCCGTCCGACCTCTGGCAGCCTCGGCACCTCAGGGCTCTGGGGGCCTGTGTCCTCCGCAGGGCATGCTGTGGCTCCCAGGTGGCTGCGCAGCCTCACGTCCTCTGAGCCCTTCCCTTCGGATGGGCCTGTCCAGCCCGAGACCACTGCGGGCTGACCCATGTCCTCTGGTGCCTGCAGAAACCGCCGGGCCCAGCTCACCTGCCCTCTGGCCCATCAGCATCAAGTCCACGGAGGTCAGCTGAGTCCACCACCACCTTCTGTCTGGGGGCAGCTCCACGGGCCCCTCAGAGTCCACAAACGACCTTCTAAAAACCGCATCAGTGGCTTCCCTCACCCACTGGGTGACGACGAGGGTGTGGCGCGGCCACCTAGGCCTCGGGCCGCAACACCGTGTCGTCCCCATCTCCTCAAGCACAGCACTGCCGTCTGCTTTGGGCCCTCACATGCAGAGACTGCCCACAGCTGCCTACCGCCCAGGTCTCCTCCGCTTCTCAGGGAAGTCGCCCACCTCCGGTCCTCCTAAGTGGACAGCGTCGACAGCACACACGGTCTACGGCACGTCACATCTGTCCCCATCTCATCCAGACCCGATCTCCTGACACGCCCCCCCCTCCTCAGCAGGACCAGGCTGCTGAAGGCGCAGGGACCCAGGAGGGGACGTGGGGAACGGTGCGCTTCCCCTGACAACAAACCGATGCTCTATCTCATCCAGACCCAATCTCCTGACACGCCCCCCCTCCTCAGCAGGACCAGGCTGCTGAAGGTGCAGGGACCCAGGAGGGGACGTGGAGAACGGTGCGCTTCCCCTGACAACAAACCGATGCTCAAGCGGACGTGAGTGCAACGGACACGAGGTGACACGTGGCGTGCTAGGATGCAGAAGTGGAACGTGAGTGGTCAGTCGGGGAAGCCTACGGCCCAGGGACCAACATGACCACTCCCGACAGATGCACGTCAGAGCTCGGCTCCCGTTCTGCTTATTTAAGGCTGTTTTTAGAATCATAGTTCTTTTTTAACGTGGAAGGAAAACCATGAATGATTTTGATAAATCCCAACCATTTCCAACCCTTTAAAAACACACCTGAACCACAGAGAGCCCGAGCGGGAGCGGGCCCAGCCACTCACCTGCTTTTCAGCGAAGTGGTACTGGCACAGCTTCTTCCAAAGCTGCCTGTCCTCGCTGAGCGTGTAGAGCGTCGGGGTCACCTGGCCTAAAGTGATGATGTCCCACCCGTCTGAGAATCGGTACAGGATGTTGTTCAGCATGTGCAGAGGGAGGTCGCTGAGCGTGAGGCCGTGGTTCACCTGCTGGAGGGGACAGAGCAGGTGCCTTCGGCTGCGGGCTAGCGGCCATGCGCAGACCCCAGACGACGGCAGCGCACAAGACGCCTGCCGAGGTCACTGAGCCCTGTCTTGCAGGGCACAAACGCCTATGCCCATGACCCCACGCCTTGCTCTTAGCAGCCACAGGCAGGGCTGGCCGCACAGTGACCGGCCGGAGAGGGCATGCGCCAAAAGCAGACCTGGGCTATCAGTGCTGACAGCTCCTCCAGACCCAGCTCATGCAAGATTTATTTACTAGATGGTGACAGACACTTACAAAGGCACCTGGACAACGGCGAGCCCTGAGGGTGCTACCCTGTGCTCCAGGCCTGGGGAGGACTAATGTCTCTGTGGTCCCTCCCAGCTTTAAATCTCTGCGGTTTCAGATCCACGAGCGACACCCTCCCTCACATAAGCCTGTGAGTCAACAGCGTGTCACCCCCCCCACACAAGCCTGCTGAAAACCAGCTGTGTGTGTATCGGGGGCCACACCGGGGGCCACACCGGGGGCCTGTGCTGTGCGGGAACAGGCGGCTGCCTGGGCTCCCGGCATAGCCCGCATTCTCCCCAGCAGCCTCCTCCTGCTGTGGGGGGACTGTCCCCAGCTAGTCCCTGCACTGTGCCTTAAGGACAGCTGGCTTCTTTCTGCTGTTCCCTTCTACGACCCTGCTGCTCCTGGACGCAGCGGACAGTTACAGACCAATTAATTCCATGAGTCTGGTCCCATAAATGACCTGATGTCTGCAGGGTGGTGGACACGGGCACTGCGGGCCGGGCACGCTGTGCCCCACTGTCCTTCCTCCTGCCTCCATCACTGTTCTAGCTGTGGACCACCACAGAGTCTTCCTGTACACCCATGGAGACGTGGGGTTACGTTTCTACGTCTAAGCATGTGGGGCTGCTGGCACCATGGGCCTTGACTCCAGCCGACAGTTCTGGACCTGGTTGCAGTGTGTCATGCGTCCCTTCCCGGCTGCGCCCCACACATGCGTCTCTGCTCCACGTTGGGCGGGAGCCATGCTTGGGCACCATCGGTCCTAACGTGGCACCGTGCGAGCTGTGACGCACAGACAGGTGAGCAACCGCTCGCCACTGACCACGCGCTCAGGTCACAGAGCTGGCCGGCGCCCGTCCTTCCCACCAGCCTGCGGCCAAGGTCTGCGTGGGAGATGACACGTGAAGTTGTCCGCGAGCAGCGGTCTCTGTGCCATCCGAGAACTCAGGCCTGTCCTGAGCGGGCACCACCCCTCCCACTCAGGAACATCCATCCCGGACAGGCTGCTGCAGTCATGAGGCTCGGTGGCAGGAGTGGGGGACGTCCCGGCACAGGACGGGTCAGACGCTGCTTGGCGGCTGGGTGTCTGGTCTCCTGAAGGGTCCAGATATATAGCCTGTCAGGACCACAGACGAAAGGCCCAGCGGAACTGCTGGCATTTCTCATCTGAGCCGTCTTCCACTAAAGCGGCCCCGAACTCCGGGGAGTCAGGAGCCACACTGCCCCCTCAGCTTAGCACGCCCTGCTGACCCGCTGGCCGAGGTCAAGGCGACAAGAAACAGCCCCCCACGACCCTGCCTGGGGACAGCCTCAGCTGGTGCACCTGTGCGAACGGAAGCATGTCTTCAGCCACCCACGAGGGCTGCTCAACGTCTCGGGAGCACGTCTTGGGAGGAACCGCCCCCCCCACCTGAGTCCCAGCGCTCAGCCAGCCTCTGGTCCCCCCTAGCCTCCCCCGAAGCGCCCACTGGGCAATGGCAGCGGGCTCGGCTTCCCCACGCGCTGCCCCCTCGCTGGTGCCCGAGGGGCCCCTCTCAGCGACCCACATGGGAAACCGCGGGGCTTCTGCATGCCCACTGGCCGTGCCGCCGTTGGCTGGTGCTGGTCTGCGTCGGTGCCTCATCACCCCCTTCTCCTGAGCACTCGGCATCCGGCACACTCACGCTGGCCACTAAATGCAGGTTCCCACACCTCTGGCCACACGGGCTCCTTACCCGCAAAGCTCTTATGTCCCCTGGTTAGGCAGTGACATGTTGGTGCCAGCCGGTACCAGCTCATGGGAGCCAATTCTGCAACTTTCCGGAATTTCATAAACCAGCTACCTTTTGCTTGGCTTGAAGTCGGCCACGTGGGAAACTGACAGATGCTACAAACCGGCCTTGTCCCCAGAGAGCTGGGTTTTGAGCAATGACCCACACCCATCGGGGAACTACTTCTCCTCTTGAAAGGCCCTGCACCGTCACGTCCTCGGTGAGGCAATGCTCGGTGCGCACCTGTGCCACACCCGTGGGCCCGTGGCCGGCCAGCACCTCCACTGGGCACCCGGAGGCCCTGGACTAAAGCTGCATCTAGTGAGCAGTGTGCCTGGCACATGGCGGGTGTGTAGGAAGTGCTTCCTGAATGAGAATGCACAGGGTCACTGAGAAGATGCAGGAGACACGGACACCGCACCACAGCCGGACCTCCAGGCGCAGCTCCCAAAGCAAAGTTCACGTTTTATGAGAGCACGAGGTCTGTGCTGGTGGTGACGGGCGCAGCAGGCGTGACTCAGCGGAGAGGCTTTGATGCGAGCTGGGCACCAGGCCCCTGGCCCTGGGGACGCCACGGGCACTCACGACCCCGTCCACGAGCACCCCGCCCGCCTGGCCTCCAGGGTTCAGAGAAGCACCAGCCCTTGTCTGAGAGAGAGAGAAAACTACCCTTTTTATGAGAGTAAATCACGAAAACAAGGAATCAACTATGCACGAACACTACCGAGAACCCTGCAAATATTGAAAAACTTTTACCTAATTCTGGTTCTCGTTTGCCCCGTCCCGCCATGCCTTACAACCCAGGGACTTCTGACTGGACTGGAGGTTGTCCCCAGGCACTGTTCCCTGTGGAGATTCTGACTAGGACACTGGTGACTCACAGGTGAGATGTAGGACAGTTACAGAAGACGGGACCCAAACACCCCGCAGCCCAAAAAACACATTCCAAGTATGACATTCACATCAAGTTAAAAGTACTTTTAAAACCCAGTGGTCTCATGGCACATAGTCGCTCTTAACTCTACTTCTAGTAAACCACTCAGAAGTTAAAGAGAAACTGCCATTTTCCAAGAAAAAATTTTTTAAATAGAGAAAATAGATTGATAACAAACATGACTTCTGTCCACCGCCTCAAAACGTTACTTCCTATTTCACCCGGTGACATCAGGGTGGTGACAGCTCTCACCCAGAAGCACATATGGCAGTCGTGTGCAGTGTGAGCAGCCCCCAGTGGACAGCCATGCAGGGACGAGCAGACGCAGGGCCTCTGTGTCCCCGAACGCCCCTAACGCTGACGCACACGGGGCTCCAGACTCTAGGGCTCTCGGGACCAGGTCTGCTCACTGGCTGTGGCCAGCGAACTTGACTCTGCCAGGGTCCTCGGAGCTGCGGGATGTCCCTGCCCTGCCTCCTGCCTGCTTGGGTGGCCCTAAGACGACTGTGACCAACAGTGGACCAGGACTTGCTGCCCTGGCTGGGCTGTCTCGTGCCCCAAGAGCCTTGCGGGTAAGGGGCTGCAGGGAGGGTGACAGTCCTCTGAGTGAGTCCTGCAGCTGAACGATGACCTGCCACGGGTCCAGGACGCCCAGCTCACCGCAGTGACACAACAGGGGCATTCAGGGTGCAGTAGCAGATGCCCAGCACCCACAAGCCACACAGGTTCCAAAGGCTGTCCCAAAGTCTCGATGTGACGGGACGCGCTCCTGTGCTGTCCCTAACGCACATAACTTTCGTCTTGGCACCTTGTTTCTCCTACTCAAGCAACATGACAGCTGGTGATAGTCACCTCCAGCCCCAACAGCACGGCCGTGCCACGGAAGAGCCAGCTCTAAGCACCACGGTGGGGGTGCCCAGGAAAAAGGCCGCAGCCCCCGTACCTCCTCAGTATGGCTGCCAGTGCCCTGGCAGGCCAGCAGGGGACGCTCCGTCCCATCATCCTTCTGCTCCCCTCCCAAAGCAGTGTGAAGGGAAAGGGACATTTGGGAGGAGGCCGGGCACGAGGCCTTGCTCTCCAGGTTGCCGTTACCCAGGCGGGAGGCGGACCTGATGCGTTCCTGCTCCCCCTCCCCATGTGACACGTGCTGGCCCAGCTCTGGTGGCCCTTTGCTCTTACCGCTGGTCTGAGGCTGACACTGATCCACATTCTCTCCGAGTACCAGGAGCTGGCCCTGCCTACGGCCTCCAGCCAAGCGCTCCCTTCTCTGGGGACGCTAACCAGTGAACGCACAGCTGGCCGCCACAGACCACATGCCTGGAACTCATCGCTGAGCTGGCACCAGCACAGAGACCAGCTACCCGGGGGACAGATGGGACCCAGTCACACGTGCCGAGTCTTAGAGGACCCCTCCCTGAGGAAGGACCTGGACCAGGAAAGCGTAGGGCCACTGTGGCATCACGTCTGATGATGCTGAGTGTCAGACTACCCGTCGTCACTCCAAGCCCTGTCAGTCACCGCTCCTCTGCAAACACGTAAGCAGGCGGCAAATAAATGGCCGGACGCTGAGGTGTTCAGAGCACCTGAAAACAGCCTTCACGTGGAGCCTCAGGTGACAAGGTGATAAAGGGAATTTTAGCCCTAGCAGGAGCACAGTTCGTGGAATGGTTTGTGCCTCGGGCCTGAGGATATATACCTTCTGCTTATTCCTTCTCTTATGGACCACGGGAGATGACGACGCTCAGCCTGCAACAGCGACTTAAGGCGATGGATGGGCTTCGCATTTCCTTGTTGAAACTTGTCACCAGAATAAGAAAAAGCACGTTCTTTCCCATGTCCAGTGTCGCCAAAGCATCACGAACACAGGTACACGCAACACGCAACGTACAGCAACAAAAAGGACCGTGAATACAGGTACATACAACGTTTAGTAGCACAAGTCAGCAAGCAGGACACACGGGGCCACTCTGCAGAAGCAACTGGACAGATGTGGAATCGCTGGCAATACAACTGAGCCGTAATTTACTGAGTGTTATTTTAGCCTAGAACACCTCATTTCCTTTAAAGATAAATTAATTTACTGCCGTGTCACCCACAGGATCAGCTCTGTGCAATGACAACTACAAGCCATCAAAGGGTCTTCTGGTCTTAATCCATCTTAAAACAATGAACAGCCTGGAGAGACAAAGAACCTTTCGACAGCTGCGGTAGTCTTACAGATAGTCTTACACACACAGGAACTAGTCTTACAGATAGTCTTACACACACAGGAGCGCTCATGGGCTTTGTCACGTAAAGTCGGCGTGACCGCCTTAGGCCAAAAGCTTCATACCTGAGTCATCTCGAGACTCTGCAGCTGCTGCTGCCATGCGAGCACCGTCTCCAGCCGGCAAACCCAGGCGTTGATGTTCCCGACCAGCATGAACTTCCCAACGCCCCTGGTCAGGATGCAAAGCGTGGAGCTCAGGTCCTGGAGAAGGTCCTTGATGAGGCGAGGGTTCTGCTGGTCGCTGAGAACTGGAATGACAAAAGTACAACTGTGGACGGTCACCCGCTGCTGGAAAGGAGGTGTCCACGCACAGAGCAACGCGCGAGGCAGGCCGCACGGTGGGGCACTGCTCAGCGCAGCACGGAAGGACAGCCCACCCACGCAACAACACAGGTGACCTTGGGGACACTGCGCTGAGTGAAATAAGCCAGTCACAGAAGGACAGACTCTGTGTGACCCTCCTCGTGTGAGGGACCCAGAGGAGTCAGATCCGCTGAGCCGGGCTGGGGCAGGGGCTGAGTGTGTGTGTGTGTGTCAGCTTGGGATGATGAGAAGTCCTGCAGGTGGTACAGACGGCTACAGTGGTGTGAGTGTGCTCAACGCCACCAAACTGGGTGCTTAAAATGAGGAAAAAAGCTAATTTTATATTATGCATATTTTGCCACAGTAAAAACAATGATCTACTTTCACTGCAACCACAAACTGGCAACGTTTTTGAGATCGCAAATATGAGATTTAAAAAACTTTAAAATATTTCCTGATAGTGCAGTTAGGTTGAGTCCACAATTTTGACTTTAAAACTGCCAGTCTCTATTTTCTTTTATACTTATCATAAAGAGAATGAATATTTCAAATGGTCATAAGTTCATATATATGTAAAAACTCACGGTATGAAATTTCAAGTTCCACTGATTATTAACCACTAATTAATCAATATGAACATTAATTAAAAAGAGATTTATTTGACGCCAGAGCAATTAAGTGCCAACCCTGCTGATTATGGGAGTGTCACACAGCTAAAGCAAAACCATGGCCGACCATGAAAAGGTGAGATAACTTTTTCCTTACCTCTTATTACAATATGCTCCACTGTATGAAAAAGTAACTTTTCAAAAAAAATAAATAAACGACAGTAACAGAACTTTAAGACGTTGAGGGAGCGACCTGTGTGCTCGTCTCACTGGACATCAGTGGACGTCACTGATTTGACAATATTGGAGAAAAATGTAAGAAAAATCCCTTCTTCTTACACTGATTTCATTAAGATTTACAGGATTAAAAACGTCAGTCATCCTCTTACCCTTTTGAACGATTTTATCCAAAATGTTGAAGTAATTCTTCTGAGCCACGCCACTCAGGGAAGTTAACTGGGATTTTGCAATTAGCTGCAACAGCTTAAAAGAAAGAGGGAAAAAGCTAAGCATGAATCTGTTTCCCATGGAAACACAAAGCACAGTGATCTATAACAGCGTCCCCAGCCTTTGTGGCACCAGGGACCGGTGCTCCTACGGGACTCTGACGCCTGATGACCTGAGGTGGAGCTGAGGCGGTGACTCCAGCGCTGGGGAGCGGCCGCACACAGACGGAGCTTCACCTGCTTGCCTGCCGCTCCCCTCCTGCTGTGCGGCCCGGTTCCTAACGGGCCACGGACCGGTACTGGTCTGTGGTTTGGGGCTGGGCCCCTGCTCTGTAATCAACACAGTGTGCAGACCAGCCGACACGAGCGTGATGGCGGCCGCTCTGACTTTTTCTCCTGCGTGAGAGACTGCACGCACTACTCCGTCTTCTGTGCCTGAGGACCCTGAGGTGTGACAGGGACGAGCGTCCTGGCGCACTTGCCCAGTGGAGAGCCAAGCCCGCTTTACCCAGGGCGTCTCTGCATCCTGTCCCCGGAGCGGTGCTGTCCCAGCGTCTTTCTCCTTCGATGGCTCCAACCACCAGGGCACGCGACCTGCTCCAAAGCTACCGTTTTCGTGACAATCCTTCTGAACTATGGTTACTGTTCTCAGTTTTCTCAACTGTGCCGCCTCGGTCCCTGCTGTGCCCTCCCTGCCCTTCCTCCCATCACATCCAGTGGCCCTTCGTCCCTCTCGCCCGCTCACACTCACGCTGGTTCCCTGCCTCCAGATGCCATGTCCCCGATGGGTCTGTCCCCGCCCAACCTGCCTCCCACGCACAGGTCCCGGTGTCCCACAGCCACCAAAGTTGGCTGCCAGTTCTCGGTTGTCCCCAGCATCTGACGCCCACCGTGCGGATGGGGCAGGGCTTCGCTCGGGAGCTCCGCTGGCCCCTGCTGTCCACGCACAGCTCGCCCATGTGATCCCGGGCACCCACAGCCCACACTGCGAAACTGGGCCTGTCACTTTGTCACCTGCTGGGAGGTCGGAATTCAGCACCGGGGACACTGCTGTCAGTGCTGGCCTCACCCGTGGCCACTGCTGCCTAGGGACCCTGCAGGACCCTTGGGGTCCTAGTTACTTCTGTAGTGCCCCTAAGAGGCCGGTGACACTAGATACCCAGCTATCACTCACACTCATTGGTGTGCAATGACACATCCCCAAGGAGCGCTGACACGTGAACTCAGGAGCAGACCTGCTGTCCCACAGCAGCGGCACTGAGGGTCTGCAAAGGTGTAAACCACGCCACTCTTTATAAACAAACGATTTCTAAAACTTCTAACTTCTATATGGTAAATATTAATGCATGTAACTCACAAAACTCCAATCTCTTTAGGGTCCTCGGCCATTTCAAAGGCTGAAAAGGGTGGCTGAAGCCAAATTCGGGGACGGCTGCTTCAATGACTGTCCCTTC